GTTATATAGCCAGAAACTGGCAAGGGGAGTGCAGAGTAGGGATGCTGGAAATACACAATTATATTTTTCATTTATGAAACTTTCATCACTTACAAAAATAATTCTGTCTTTAAACTATGATTGTTTCCTTGTCCAAGGGAGCCACTGAGTTTACAGATTCTCAAATATTTCAGTCAATCCATGTATCTCTAATAACACCTATTTCACCAATGTCATTCTGGTTTTGATGTCTCCTATAATTCATTATTGTAATTTAACCAGATGTGCAATTTTCTCTGGATTGGTGTAAGATAAAGATAACTGGCCAGGCCTGGTGGTTCACGCCTGTAATTCCAGGACTTTGGGAGGCTGAGGCAGGTGGATCACTTGAGGTCAGGAGTTCAAGACCAGCCTGACCAACATGACAATACCTGTCTCTACTAAAAATACAGAAATTGACTGGGTTTGGTGGCCCCCATCTTTAATTCCAGCTAGTCAGGAGGCTGAGGTGAGAGAATTGCTTGAACCCAGGAGAGGCTGCCGTTAGCAGAGATCACGCCACTGCCGTACAGCCTGGGTCACAGAGCTAGACTCCATCTCAAAAAAATAAAAATGACTGAAGCACTGCAATAGCACCTGGAGCTTAAATCTTGGGTGCGAGTTCATGACCAAATTTGTGTAATGTATTGACTAAATCTCATGCTTCCAGCACATTTATGCTAATATATTTCATAATACATTGTGGATATCATAAGAATATATTTCCCAATTTATTTTTGTTTTATTTACATATATTTCCCTATTTAAAAGTTTAAAAATATGTAAGAGTAAGATGTTTTATTTTTTTATTATTATCATCATTTTATTTTATAAAGACGGGGTTTCACCATGTTGGTCAGGCTGGTCTTGAACTCCCGACCTCAGGTGATCCGCCCCCCTTGGCCTCCAAACTGCTTGGATTACAGGTGTGAGCCACCATGCCTGGCCGGAGTAAGATGTTTTAAAACTGTAATACCAGGCCCTAAAAAACTTCTGGTTAAATGTCAGGATAGACCAAAGAGATTTTCAGATACATAGGTCTCAAAAACTTTCTCATATACGTTATTAGAAAGCTAATGAATTCAGGAAATTAGACTACTGCAGGGGACACTTTGGAAATGAATTAAGAATAAGAACACGAAGCCCTTTCCTTTTGCCGACATCACTGAAGTGGAAGTGCCCAAAATAAAGTTCAATCCTTTGTGTCTTCTGACCGAAGCAAGAACAACAAAAGGCATTCCAATGCACCTTTCCACATTCGCAGGAAGATTATGTCTTCCTCTCTTTCCAAAGAGCTGAGACCGAAGTACAAGGTTCAATCCATGCCTACCCAAAAGAATAATGAAGCTCAGGTTGCAGGAGGACACTATAAAGGTCAGCAACTTGGCAGTACTTTGTTCAGGTTTACAGAAAGAAATGTCATCTACAGTGAACGGGTGCAGTGGGAAAGACTAATGGTCCAACTGTCCATGTAGGCATTCACCCAGCAAGGTAGTTATCGCTAGGCTAAAACTGTGCAGAGACTGCAAAAAGATCCTTGAACAGAAAGCCAAATCTCACCAAGAAGGGATAGAAAAGGGCAAATATCAGGAAGAAACAATTGAGAAGGTGCAGGAATAAATTACTCTTGTATACAAGCTTTAAAACTTGAAATGAGGCCGGGTGTGGTGGCTCACGCCTGTATCCCGACACTTTGGGAGGCCAAGGTGGGTGCATTACCTGAGGTCAGGAGTTCGAGACCAGTCTGACCAACATGGTAAAACCCCGTCTCAATAATAAAAAAAAAAAAACTTAAAATGAAAACAAAACATATTGAAAATGGAAAAACTATTAACTACAGAAAACAATTATAGAAAAAACAGAATGGCAACCACTGCACAGTACACGGCTCAGAAATGAATCTTATTGAAATAGTCAAATAAATGTGAGAAAATATTCTAAGCCAAAAATCATAAATTCTATTAGAAGAGGGCCACTGGGTGCAGACTGTTCCAAATTCTGATTTTCCTAAGTGAGACATCGTTTTAAAACAATAATGTTTCAAATTAAAAACTCCAAAATTATTAGAATGTGATTTAGTGACTATAAAAGAGCTGAAAAGTTCAACGTGGCTGCCTTTGAAAAACTGCGAAAAGTGGTTAGAAATATTTGTAATTCAAATTAATGTTGTAAACAATAATTGAAACTTTAAATCCAGATTTTAAAAAATTGTGGTTTTGGGCTGGGCGCAGTGGCTCAAGTCTGTAATCCCAGCACTTTGGTGAGGCAGGCAGGACACACCTGAGGTCAGGAGTCTGAGACCACACTGGCCAACATGGTAAAACTCCATCTCTACTAAAAATACAAAAATTAGCCAGGTGTGGTGGTGAGTCCCTGTAATCCCAGCTACATGGGAGGCTGAGGCAAGATAATCACTTGAACCCAAGAGGCGGAGGTTGCAATGATCTAAGATTGCACCAGTAAACTCCAGCCTGGGTGACAGACTGGAATAGAGACAGAGACATTTAAAAAAAGAGAAGGAAGGAAGGAAGGAAGGAAGGAAGGAAGGAAGGAAGGAAGGAGGGAGGGAGGGAGGGAGGGAGGGAGGGAGGGAAAGATGATCTAAATTACACAAATACAGATGTCTTTACTTGCTCATGACATGATTATCTATGCAGAAAATCCAATGGAATCTACATAAGAGCTCCTAGAAATGAGTTTAACAAGCTTATAGGAAATAAGATTAACACACAAAAATCAATTTTCTATATTCTAGTAATAAACAATTAGAACTGAAATAGTCGACATAAAAATATCAAATACTTAAGGTCAAATTCGACAAAAGATATTAAACACATGTACAAAAATTACAAATTTTAGACAATTACATAAAAATTCATGGAATAAACTAGATTCACTCTCAGTTATGTCTACTAGCTGACATGTTACGGTGTTAATTTTCTCCATACTAATATAAAAAGATACAACACATAATCCCATCAAAATCACACCAGTCTTTTTTGTTAACGTTTTTCCAAAAGTTACATATTTTTCATCTGTTGAAAGATATTAATCCCTGAATTAACCGAATAAACCTAAGAAGGAAAATATGGAACTAAGTTAATACAGATTCTGAGCCTAGAGATCAGTTCCCAAAGAGAAGTGAAGGACAGTAGCTGACTACACTAGAGGGTACTCTGTCCAGTGGGAACAAAAGGAGAACAGATGCTCTGATTGTGTGTGTACAGTGTGTGTGTACAGTATGTAAGTGTGTGTGGGGCAGAGGAGGATGTAAGAGTGCCTTCTCTTTTTTCTTTCAGACAGAGTTTTACTCTTGTTTCCCAGGCTGGATTGCAATGGCATGATTCAGCTCACTGCAATCTCCGCCTTCTGGGTTAAAGCAATTCTCCCACCTCAGCCTAATGAATAGCTGGGATTACAGGCATGTGCCACTATGCACGGCTAATGTGTTGTATTTTTAGTAGAGATGGGGTTTCACCATTTTGGCCAGTCTGGTTTCAACCTCGTGATCTCAGGGGTTCCGCCCACTTCAGCCTCCCAAAGTGCTAGGATTAAAGGCATGAGCTACCATCTCATTTTCTATAAAACTAAGGTAGTCCTGACAAAGACACACTGAATAAAAAATACAGTTACTTAGAAATATTGAGGTAGACAGATGAAAGGGGAAAGTGGCATTGGGCATGGAGGTTCATGCCGGTAATCCCAGTGCTTTAGGAGGCTAAGGCATGAGAAATGCTTGAGGTCACATGTCCAAGACCAGCCTGGGCAAAACAGAAATTTAAAAAAAATTTTTTTTTTTAAGTTGACCAGGCGCAGTGGCTCACACCTCTAATCCCAGCACTTTGAGAGGCTGAGGCAGGCATATCACAATGTCAGGAGTTTGAGACCAGCCTGATCAACACGGTGAAACCCCAACTCTAATAAAAATACAAAAATTAGCCAGGTGTGGTGGTCCATGCCTGTAATCCCAGCTACTCAGGAGGATGAGGCAGGAGAATCGCTGGAACTCAGGAGGCAGAGGTTGCAGTGAGCTGAGATTGAGCCATTGCACTACAGCCTGGACGACACAGTGACTAATAAAGACTTAATCTTTCTTAAAGGAAAAATACATAGGCAATACTAAAGACACATTATTAGGCTTCTATTGGCAATACCTGGAGTAATAATTTTTTTTACATAATACATTACTTTAGGAGTATATATTTTTACTATTTTGTTTTAGGATTTCTAAAGTAGTTTGTCTCTGACCCTGTAATTTGTTATAAAGTAGGTCCTATAATCACATTTTTAGTGCTGAACTGAGATATAAACAATTCTGGGTTTTTTTGTCAGAAAAATAGGACAAAATACAGAATTATCAAAATTAGATTCACTGGCTCTTTTATGTTTGCTAGGTGTAAGAAAATGACAGTTTTGTAATAGTTATTTATTCACAATCTGTTACTCTAGAAATTTTAAGAGGTTTTGAGTCCATTCCAGTATAAAAATAAGGCCAAAGTGATCCTGTAAAATCATCATTAAAAGTATACAGTAGGGAGCTATCATTCAAATTATAAAAGGAAACCTCACTCATTTCATAATCTAAAAAAATGCCAATCTTACTAGGTGTTACTTTTGGCAGCAGATTAATTTCCTCATGACCCAATACAATATATTTATCCTGACCAGATCGCTGAATTCCCCACAATCCATTTTGTACTAATAGTGGATGCTTCCTCCTTCTGGGAAGAGAGTCATTACAGACACCAAGGATCCATTCAGGCTTGTCTTTCACTTCTACTTCCCAGTACTGCCGGCCACTACTATAGCCCTTAGAACCCACAACAGCTGGGAGGCGATAAAATCTTCTTGGGTTTGGAGGTAAGTTTTGCACTGTATTTCCATATCGCACAGTTTTTCTATCTGCTGAGACTATAAGTTTATGATGTGCTGTTTCAGGATCTAGAATTACATCTACTTGAAATTGCTTGATAATTTTGTATAGGCCAGAATATTGTGGAGGCAGACGGTAACCGTATTCTTTTAATCTGAATGAAAAGGGTTCAGGTAATTTGAAATTTTTGTATCTATGATAGATATCCTTAACATTTGCCAGTAATTCCAGTCCTGGCTTCATATATATGCTCTGTATCTCCTGTAGTAGATATTTTAATGAGGAGGTATGATCTGAGAATTTTCTTAGGCTTTCATTTAGTTGTGCTAAAATATCCATCTCTTCAGCTTGTAATTGCTCAAGAACAGTCTCTTGCTCATTTTGGAGAAATAACCTAAGTTGCTCAAATTCAGATTTGACTTCTTCTTCCTTACGTTTTACCTTTTTCTTCAGTTCTAACGATTTTCTGGTTTGTATAGTTATGATTTTTTCAGTTAGTTCCACTCTCTCCTTCCATGGTGCATTGTATTCCTCCAATTTTTTCCTGTGATAAGAGGCAGCCTTCTTTATGTGCCAAACACAGTGAAGCTGGTGACCAGTGGAGAAACTGCACCTTGGACATAAAAGCTCTAGGTCTTCCTGACAGAAAAAGGTCAAAACCTGATTATGTTTCTGACATACATGCTTCTCTTCCTGCCGCTTTCTCTTGCTTCTTATCTGGAGTTGCTTAGCAATTTCAGTCAAACGACCCAGTTGAGGATTGCTTGTCAATTTCCTTTCTGGACAGCAAAAGTGGCAAAAAGGGCAGGGAAAACTATCATCTAGATCCTTCCAGGATATAACGATGCAGGAGAGACAGAAGTTATGCCCACAACTGATGGTCACTGGGTCTTTCAAGTAGTCCAGACAGATGGGACAGCTAGCCACTGCTTGAAGGTCAGCCATTGAGCCTTGAACAAAGATGGTAGGTAAAGTAATTATTTTAATAAGGCCTAACTCTCTAGACCTCAAGTCCCAGTAAGCAGTAGATATCTTCCCCCAGACCTTGAAATTTGAATTAGCTTTCAGTTTTACTGCTTTGGCATGTTGATGGCAGCTTCTAAAAACTTCTCAGCTCCTTAGCTTCAGAGTCTACAGCCGTGAATACTTCACAGGCTGCAGCCTATTGCACATTTCAGCGTATTAGCTGGGCTGCTGCTCTTCCCACTTAATGAAATAAAGTCAAGTTTTCTTGAAGAAAGTAGACTCAGGTCCAAGATAAGGAATCCTTCATATGAGTGAGAAAAGACACCACATTACAAATCTGATTACATAATCACAAATGTATTAAATATTCACACAGGAATTGTCAAAGAATGCTGAAATCACTGGGTGGATGTTCTTGGAAAAACAAGATATTAATATTGCAGAGATTCACAATGTACATTACTTACACACACACACACAGAGACACACAGACAATATCTTAAAAATGTGGAACAAACTTATGTGCTTCCTGATAGAATGCAATGGCAACTTTACAGCATTGCTCATATCATATTCTTTCCAAAAATACTGACTTTCAAGCTAACCATGAGAAAATTAATTCAGATTGTGGAGCATTCCTACTAGACAACTGGTATGTATTCTTCAAAACTGTCAATTATAGGAAAAACAATCATAAAAAAAAGATTTCCAGATTTAAGGAGAGGAAAGAAACATGAAAAATAAAATACAACCTGTGATACCTGATTGGATCTGAAATCTTGAAATTTAACAACAACAACAACAACAACAACAAAGAACTAAAAAATGCTGGAAACAGTCCAGGTATGGTGGCTAACACCTGGAATCACAACACTGAGGGGCCAAGATGCATGACTCCCTTGCAGCCAGGGGTTCAAGACCAGCCTGATCAACATGGTGAAACCCACCTCTACTAAAAATACAAAACATTAGCTGGGCAAGGTGGCATGTGCATGTAATCCCAGCTGCCTGAGAGGCTGAGGCAGGAGAATCCCTTCGCTGGACCCCAGGAGGTAGAGGTTGCAGTGAGCTGAGATTTTAGGACAGCACTACAACATAGGCACTAGAGTGAAACCACATATTAAAAAAAAGAAAGAAAGAAAGAAGAGAAAGAAAAAGAAAGAAAGAAAGAAAGAAAGAGAGAGAGAGAGAGAGAGAGAGAGAGAGAAAGAAAGAAAGAAAGAAAGAAAGAAAGAAAGAAAGAAAGAAAGA